GAAATTTAAATATATGACGACATCATTTCAAAAGGAAAAGGTGGCCGGAACAGTTCTATTATAAAAAATTTGTTATTCAAAAATTGTTTTACTCTCTTTTGAATGAAATGGAAGTAACATCACATTACTGTTACTTAACAATTAGATTTTATTTATCTCCTCGCATTTGAATAATACTAGTGTCACCAGGAATTAGCGTATTATAGTTTTAATTCAAATTCAGATACGATTATCTATTTATAGCAAGTAAGCCCGGTGTTGCTGGCTATCTTACCTGTGTACCAAATTTCAACTTTCAACTCCTAACCGTTTTGATTCTGCGCTTATTATCATTTTTATTTATTTGTTCAACTCAATTCAAATCATTTATTTGTTGTTGTTGTATGCAGTTTCCATCAAACTTTAATACATTTTTTCTATTTGTGAAAATTTCTACGTAATTCAAAGGTAATTTTTAATATATATCTTACATAGCATTATTAATATGATTTTGGAGGTTGCAGAACGTATTAAATTACTTTAAAAAATGAAAAATAATTATATCATTTGATTCCAAGATATTTTGTATATCTTAAAAATGATGAATTTTATCCCGGGAAACAGTTCACTTTTATCCCGGAATCCCGGGACAGGTAAAAGACCGAGAAAGGAGAAACCATAATACTTAGTAAGTGTTGTTCTTGTTTTCGTTTGCTGTTGCTCAAGATCTGTGTGAGTCCAACGTATTACTCCAAAAGAATAAATGAGTACAGTCGACCCCCCCTATAACATGGTAGATACGTTCCGTTCTTTAAGAATCCATTTTGTACGAGTCCTTGCCAATCACAGCCCGGCACGTATGCACTTTACGGACTACGGCTGTTTGAAAGGTTTTCTTCCATAAAATTAATCGATTCCTAGACTAATTCGACTCAACATTTCCAAAATACGTATATTTTTTTGGGAATAATCCATATAAACTATGCTATAAACAAAAACTTGTAGAATTACTTACCGAGTGTGCACTGTTCCACATCGCCATTGCTTAACCTTGTTTTCGTCGCGGAGCAGCGCACCAAACGGCGACCGCGATTTCTGATAAGTTATTTTTCTGCGAAAACTTCGTTGAACTTTGGAGACATCATTAATATAAATAATTTTTATGGCCGTTGAATAAGAAATGTTTCTTTCACAAGAAATGTATAAAATTACAGC